GCGAGCGTCACAGCGGCAATCGTCAACGTCGTGTGCGAGCTGGGATGGAGGAGACCGCAGGACTTCCTACCGCTTGCACCAAGACTATTTGATCTCTTAGTAGAAGGAGGCAACAACTGGATGGCCATTAAGCTCATCAAACTTGTAAGCACTGAGCTCACAGGACATAAAAACCAGAACTTGAACTGACCTGCCTTAGTTTGCAACATTGACCCCATTAGAACCTCGACTCATCAAGAAACTGCTACCTCCGTTGACCAAGATTATACGGGAGACGTCTGCTATGTCGTTACTTTACGAATGTATCAGTGGTATCATCCAGGGTGGTATCCTAGAAGCCGTAGAAGGCACTGCGGAAGGTGAGGAGGTAGCAAAGCTATGTGTTGGCAAACTACGCGGCATGATGATCATAGAGGGAGATGCAAACTGTAAGCTAATATACACTGTTATTCAACGTTTGGCTTCTCATCAATCTGCAGTAAAATATGTCGCACTACTCGCGTTCGAGAAGATCGTCACATCACATCCCTACTTGGTTTCTCAGCAGCAAGACGTCATCCTCGAATGCATCGACGACCCTGATATCTCAATACGGATGCGAGCTTTGGATCTGGTAGTTGGCATGGTTAATGCAGACAACCTCACAGCAATTGTTGGAAGGTTGATGCGACAGCTTCGAAACGCACCGATTGCCTCAGCAGCGAGCGATCCTAACAACGACCGAGGTAGGCTGACTGGCATATCACCTTATGGTGACGACGACTCCGACGCAGAAGAGAATCTGCCTCAGCATGAACAGAAATCCGACCAGCCGCCGCCACTGCCAGACGACTACAGGATAAGCGTCATTCGGAGGATCCTGGAGATGTGCTCACGCGATACTTACAGCAACATTGCCGACTTCGAATGGTACATTGACGTACTTACTCAGCTAGTCAGAGTATCACCAGCAACAAAGGCAACCTCGGTTATGGAAGATGAGGAAGAAATAGAACATTCGGACGACATTGGTGGTGGCATCGGACACGAATTACAGAACGTTGCCATTCGGGTGAAGAGCGTTCGATCGGAAGCTATAGATGCCGCACAGTCGCTCGTGCTCGTTGACCGGAGAGACCAAATGTTCCCAGCATCCGGAAACGGCGGCCAAGGTGTACTGGAATACGCTGGCTGGCTGGTTGGAGAGTACGCCAACTACCTCACTCGCCCGGAGCCCGTCATGACCTCCCTGTTACACCCCTCTTCTCTCCAGTTATCCTCGAGAACGCTCGCTGTGTATCTGCAAGCGATACCCAAGGTCTTCTCTAGCATGGCTGGAAACGATCAAGTCTCATGGACTCCTGAGCGCAAAACCCTTATGTCCCTTCTCATGGCTCGCATCATCCACTTTTTGGAGCCGCTTTCCACACACCCTAGTCTGGAAGTTCAGGAACGGGCAGTTGAGTACCTTGAACTCATGCGTCTCGCGGCAGAAGCTGCATCAGGCACTGCTGCTAGCGCGGACCAGGATGCATTCACCGATCCACCTCTACTACTTACCCAAGCTATACCTGCCCTCTTTTCTGGTGCTGAGCTGAACCCGGTCGCTCCTGGTGCCCAACGCAAGGTTCCTTTGCCTGAAGATCTGGACCTGGATACACCAATCAACCCCAACCTACAACATTTGCTCTACACAGCTGATACGGAAGGCTTTGAGACAGAGGAGGATGATGTATATGCGGCTTATTCGGAGCCTGCAACCGCATACTCAGAGCCTCCTGCTGTTGCTGCACCGGCTGCAGAACGCCTGGATGCGCCGCACAAAGAACCTACATCATACCAAAACGCAGCGGAGGATGAGTATCTTGACGCTGATATCATTGCGCGTCGGAAAGCTGAAAGAAAAGAACGCTACAAAGACGATCCATTCTACATCGACCCCGAAGCGGATAAGGGCAGCGGCGCAGCCACACCACTGAGTAGGATAGTGCGAGATGGCAACAGGGAGAACAACGAGCTCGACATCGATTCGATCCCAATTATGGAGCTCAACCTCGACAGCAAAGGGTCATCGTCTGAACATCTACCGCGATCGCGGAGTCCGCGCAAGCCTGTGCGCAAAGTTGACATCATGGGCGATGAGACACTTGGACCTGCTGCACCAGACGCTTCGAGAGATGACATCGTGCAACCACGTCCAGGGAAAACGAAGAAATCACTATTGCAGGTTGACAGCTCCGGTCTTGGGTCATTGAGCTTGGATGACGAAGGCATATCAAATCGCAAGCTCACTCAACTCGAAGTCGAGAGGAAGGCCCAGGAAGACGCGGAGATGAAGAAGGCGCTCCAGGAAGTCGAGCGACTACGGCTTGAGATGCAGCGAGCGAGCGAGAGATTACACGTCAAAGAAGAAGTCGCCGTCAAGAAAAAGAAGAGAAAGGTCAGAAAGGTTACTGTGGAAGGAGACGAGCCAGCCGAAACGCCTCCACCGGAAGCGGAAGTTGGTGAAGAGGAAAAAGCAGCGCCTATCAAGAAGAAGAAAAAGAAGAAGGTCAAGCCTGAGGGCCAAGACGAGAACGCAGCTGAAGGCGCAGCTGAGGGCGAGGAAGAAGGCAAAGTCAAGAAGAAGAAAAAGAAGAGGCGGACTGTGGTCATGGATGAAGGGGCAGATGCGCCCGAGGAGTAGTAGCTCAAGCACGCGGCGGATGGGTGTCTTGGTCCTGGACAGATGTGATATCAAATGCTCAATGGTATTTTGCTACCACAAAATCGGCTATATCAAGTCCCCTTGATGCCGCAATGATGCCTCTATAACGCCGTATGCCCTATATAGTTGACGCAAGAAAGTGGCCTCAAAGCCAAGTTGCTCATCTAAGCTGTTCCCAGCTTCTCCCTTTTATCCACTCTCCAGCATATATGTGTGCTTTGTGTAGTCCCCCCATGTTTGTAGAATCGAAATCGAAATCAAGTTCAAGTCGTATTCGTCCGGTAATCGATCGCATCGCATTGCATGACCCCAGCTTTCTAAAAGAAGAGCTTAAGGACCTCGAAGAGCAGACCGCCGACTAGTATGAAAGCAAGAACAACTGTGGGAATATCAGTCAGCACATGTCCTCACAAGATCTAACCATGTAGACGACAGGGCGAAAAGAACGTACTGATCCAGAACCGGCTAATGGGGCTCTTCTGAGGCGCCCTCTTCTTGACCACGGGCTCCGTTGACTCGGGCTTGCCCATCTTCTTCTCCTGCGCCTTGGCGAAACGCATGTTTGCCTGGCGTTGTTGTGGTGTTTGCACCTGTACATTGGTAGCAGTGGTTAGCTACCTATTCCATCTGTTGTATGAATGCGACAAAAGGAGGGAGAGCCGCTCCATTGCGCCGCGAAGGGGGTGGGTGGTATCGTACCATTATGATGTGTGTTTGTGTACGTGGAACGAGTAGATGGCTGTAAATCGCGCGGTCCAGGAAAGGTTTCGGGAAAAAGGAAGCGAGCGTCTAGTGTCTGGTAAGAGGGGAGAGAGAGAAGCGGAAATGAGGGTTCAAGTTGTATGGTGAACGTGTTCCCTTTGGAAAGTGCATCGCGTGGGTCTGTGCGGTGGCGCTAGGGTACCCGGCATTAGCTGAATACGCGGAGATAGTGGACGGAGGTTTATACCGTTTTCTGTCTGGAGACTTTTGTCGCATCTGCGTGTCTTTGCACGTGGAGAGCTCTACCACCGTCAGCGCAATAGTCTGTGTCGCATATTCGCAGACAAATCAACTTTATACTTTTCGTTCTTCGACACCTTCCCTCGCGCAGTACCCGGCGAACACGCAGCGGCGACCGAACGAGCTCAGAAGCGGGGACAAAAGTTGGCAGCTTTACGACACCATGAATCACATCAGAGCAACACGGTCAATATGGAGTAGAAGCGCGATACCGAAGCGCATGGGCCAAGCATCACGAAGAACATATGCAGCCGAAGCACCAGCACCGCATCCTCCCAGCTCGCCGCCAAACCCAAACTCAGCACCGCCGCCAAAAGAGCCATCACGCGTAGTACGTCATACCCCAACAACCACCCTCCCCCCATATTCTATACTAACAAACCCCCCACAGGGCGCATACTACGGCACCTTTGGCTCACCCCTCCTAAAATGCTTCCTCGGCGCCCTCTTCACATACCAACTCACCTACTACCTGTGGTACAAACTCGAAACCATCGAAGAGACACACGACACAAAAGCCGAAATACGCGATTTGCAGGAGGAGCTGCGGCAGGCGATTGAGAAACAGCGGTGGATGGCGCAGCAGAAGTGGGGGCAGGCTACTGAGGCGATGGAGAGGGAGAGGGAGGAGTTTGGGCAGGCGGTTGATGCGGTTGTGGAGGAGGTTAGGGAGGGGGCTGATGAGGTGGGGAAGGGGACGAGAGCTGTGGGGAGAGTTGCTAGAGGGGGTTGGTGGCCTTGGTGAGGGTGGGAATTTTGGTGCGTGGATGTTGTTGTGGTGGGTCAGAGGGTTTGAGGCTTCATGGAGGGCATTTGTACAATATGATGATATGTATATCAGATGGATGGATGATACCCCTCGGAAATACTGTATTCCTAAACTTGATTGGTTGTTGCCGGTCGATCTGCCTCTCTGTCCATGCCCATGTGCTACGCTATCTTCCTTCGTAATATCGCACCAGCCTGATATCCGCGCTAAGTTTCTTTCAAGCCTCACGTCCATCAAACTCTCGTCTTTCAGGTCCTTAGATTGGCCAGTCTATCGCTTCTCTCATACCCAGCGTCGAGGGCGTGCAGTCGACGGACGCCGATCTTGCGCTGACTCTATGTGGGCAACGCAAGCCTCATTGCCATCAATCAATTCCATCAATCCACCAGACGGCCATGCTGTCGGGTCCTTTGCTCTCTCAACTTACCTATATGAGATTGACATGACGGCAGTATTACTAGCACTCGGTGGTGACTCTTCGTAGTCATCGCATCGATTCGTGGACCCAAGTTGGCAATGCAATATATCTTCACGAAGGTATTCTCAGCCGAAGAACTCGCCAGAGACGAGCGACTCCCACGGTTTACCGGTATCCCAGACGCTCTTCATGAGCGTACTGATTTTAGGTACCTGATACGGAGTAAGCAAGTCAGCCTTCACTTTCTGATAACAGGAGCTTACATGGTTCAGTCCGAAGCCCTCCACACTCCTCAGCCGCTCGATGATTTTCTCTCTCTGTCCTTCGTCTTGCGCGTCGCAGCCAGCAGCAAACATGGGAAAGATCAAACATGCCTCTGCTGTGCTTCCTCTCCGGATCTTGTACAGTAGGCCCACAATCTCTCGCACGGCTTGCTGAACTTCGTGGTCCATGACGGGTTTTCCGAGAACGCGACGATACAAGTGGATTAGACCCGCCCAGTGGAATAATTCGTTGGTCGCGTAGATCTCGGTTGCATCCCATGCACCTTCAGACTCAGAGGAGGTACTGGAGCGGTGGTTGCATCCTTTCCTGATGTTCCGGCCTAGTAAGCCTTCCTCCAGTGCGTGACGAAGCTCAACGGCTTCCTCTATAATCTCAGGGCTAGGTGTCCAACCCTCCCTCACGTTGCCTTCTTCATCAATGCGCTGCGGTTCACAGCGCTTCGCTAGTTCAGAAACACGGGCCAGGGACCCGACACATCTTGTTGTAAAGCCCATTAGACAGTCGATCTCAAAATCTTCGTCCGCGGAAGCGTTTTCGCTAGACCAGTAGAAGGAGCCAAGAGGTGTGTCGTTCTTGTTCCCACTTAGTGAGCCGAGGACGTCGAGGTATGCGAACCAACGCGAGAGGAAGTAGGCCACACGATCATGCCGCCCCATGCCCTTTGGTCCGCCACGCTGGATGATCATCTGCCGTGCCATAGTCAGATGGCTTTGCCAGGATACAGGTACTTCGAATGTTCCAGAAGATATAACCTCCAGACTCGCCATCATTATCACTGCGGCTAAAGTACTATCCGATACAGTGTTGGGATCATCGTTGAGCGCTTCACGTAGTTTGGGGAATACGTCTTGCACCCAGACGGCGATGCGATTTGAGGGCTCGGGGTGATTGAGCATGCGTGCTCGGTGTGCCGCGCTATACGCGAGAAGAAGATTCATGATGTTCTCATCTTGTACAGCCACTGCTCATGTTAACAATGATTTATGAAGATTGATGTTTACCTACTCTCTGGTAAAATCTCGCGAAAGGGATTCCGCTCGCAGTCATGATTGACAAGAACCCGCGCTGTGTGATTGATGAAGTGATGGAAGTACAAGAGATTCATCTGGTTCTCTACGAGCAGCGACGGTAGTGGTTCTAAAGACTTCGAAATCCTGATCGGAACTGGTTTTGCATAGTAGCCCCCGCTTTCGAATGCCATGTCTTTGCCGTGGGGATCAGCGCTACCATAGGTTGTGTCATCATTAAATCCCATGGTGTTGCTTTGCGGGCTGAAAATGGCAATAGCAGAGAAGTCGTCATTCCTCGGAGTGTCGATATCAGGGAGACCCAAGTCGTATCCGTAGGTGGTGAACGCAGAATCAGCAATTGGATATTGTCGGCCACGTCCAACCTCGTCACCGGCCGGCCGTGACCTCTTTCTCGGGAGATCATTGATGAGAGACTGGACGGACACACGGCGGAGATCTGGCGGTGATTGGGCTGAATTTTGCGGTGTTGACGAGGTTTGCATAATGTTTCCTTCTGAGCCGATTGACATGGGTGTTAGCGGCATAGCCGAATAGGGACTGTATGGCGTCGGTGAAAGTGTGTTCGGCGAATTTGCGTCTGGTAATGTTGGTGTGTTCGAGTCTGTAGAGAAGCCATACTGATGGCGTTTGGGCATCGAATCCATTGAACCCGGCAGTGGCGGCGGCATCGTAGGATTGGCATATGTGAAGCCAGCATTACGGGAGTTGGAAGCACCCGAATCATACGCGACATGCGACCGAGCGTCAACAGTACTCTGATACTGTGTATGGTTGTAGGGAACGGACGTGAACGTTTGGTTTTGAAGGTAGAGGTCCGCACCCATCGCTTCAGTACGGATAGCATCATGCGGCTTTTGCATCAAAGCTGGATCAATGGAATGCGTAGATCCAGGTGGAGATGTTCTTGATGTTGATCGTGTGTGTTGTGATTGCACGGGTGGTTCCGGGGCAGACGAAAAGACGTTCTCTTCAAATGGGAAGGAGGACTGGTACGGACTGCCAGACGCTGCACTCGAAGCATCAGAGGCTGCACTTGTCTTATCTTTCTTTGAACGGCCTCCCCAGTTGAGTCTTATACTGTAATCGCATGTTTCCCCTTGGCGCTCGCAATTGGTACAGCTTGGCTTTTCTTCTCCACTATGAGATGCTGTTAGTACTCTTTCATGAGACCACAATTAGAACTGCTTTACCATTTGACTTTTCGAGCTTTACATGGCCTGTGTTTGGTGAGTAAGAATGACCAGACTCCATTGATCTGAGATAATACCAGCAGCCATTTCGCGATCTTCTTTTAGGTTCTACCCCGGGTTTCTTTGGTCGAGGCATGGCGCTTTAGATTGACAGGGAAAGCAAAGATAGTGCAAATGATGACTGAAGCTGATGGTCGCGCGGCTGGTGAGCGCCACGCTAAGACCATGCCATACGGGGCCGACTCGGCAGGCTGGGGTAGCCTTTGGGTGACGAGCAGCAGTGCACCGGGGTGCCGGGTACTAAAATGTTGGGTTGGTTGCACTGCATGCGTTCACCTAGCGCGCTCTAACGAGCGACAGGACGGTTGCCGCGATGAGGAGCTGTATACGATCGCTTATCTAAGGTTGCAAGGTCCGACAGCAGCCCTGGAGCTGTTCCGTCCGAAGTAGGTGATTCAGTCGGAGAAGGAGCGATAAGGACCCCCGCACTTTGCACCGCGCTCCAATCATGACCCTGGAATCCGATGCTTCACGCGCTAAGTGGGCCAGGCACAAGGTCGGCAAGATCGACACCGGATCAACTTTTGTGGCTCTATTGCAAGTCTTGTAGGCTTCGCGCCTGAGTTCGGGGTCTATTCACGGGTGACTTCGGTTATTTACAGAGGCATATCAGCAACCTCAATCTTATTGAGATCTGATCTTGATCATACTGAGCTTGCCTACACGCGTAGCAGCCCTTCTCCGTGCTACTAGCAGCCATAGAAGCACATGGTCTTTACTGCTAACGCTCGTTACTAGAGACTGCTCTCAGAGTAGATACTTCTGACATGGCCCGAATGGTAGAATCAGAATCCGTGGAGCTAGTATGCGAGTCGATCGATATGACCGACCGACTGGCGGACGTGCTAGGTCGCTCTTCTTCACTCAGCCCGCTCCTGTCTGTCATCTCTTCGTCCTTACTCTCCTGACCTGCGTTTGCAGATTCAGCTTCTAGGGCAGTCATACGATTCACAAACTCCTTTTGTAATTCCTTGAGCCATGCAGTGAGAACCTCTCCCTCTAACACACCAGTGTGTGCTTGAACGAGATGCTCCTTGAGATTGAGCACGAGCTTGCGTCGTTTCTCCTTAAGCACAGTTTCGGAGGCCTTTTTCTTTCGCAGCATATGACGCTCGACCTGTTGTGCAACCAAGGTAGCATGCTCCACAACCCCGGGTGGGAAAGGAACCACACGCGCAAGCGTTAGACCATAGTGGATCTCTTGGACGACTCCCTGGGCCGTCTTGTAGAGCATCGTCATGCTGTGTGCGTCTTCCATCTGAGGATGTGAGTGGTTTGATCTGAGAAGATTGGAAACGCCCTCACCTCAACTGCCAGGTGTAGGTTCTGAACTCCAGCGCGGTCACTCATGATAGTCGCAAGATCTTTGAAGTGGGTTGCGAACCAAACAAGAGCCTTGTGATGCGTTAGAACGCGGCATCAATGGGGTATATTCACATACGCGACTCGAAACGAGGGCTTCTGCGATAGCTAACGCAATGGCCAGACCATCTCTGGTACTGGTGCCTCGACCTAGCTCATCGATCAAAACTCTACCTTTTGTCAGCAATGATTTGGCATCCACTCATCGATCAGTCTCCTACAAGCTACGTCGATCAACATTGCGTAGGATGAAAGCAATCTCTTTCATTTCCGCGGCGAAGGTAGAAACATTAGTTTCGATGTTGTCATCCATGCCCAGTCTAGCGAACAGCTGATGCAGAATAGGAAATGAGGCATAATTAGCAGGAACGCTGGAAGTAGTTAGTACTCGAAAATTCAAAGTTTGTAATCAAATCAAACGTACTAGCAGCCGATCTGAGCCATAATTGTCATCAAAGCCACGGATCGGATATAAGTGCTCTTGCCACTCATGTTGCAACCAGTGATGATCTGGAACCGCGTCTGTTGCGTAGCATAAACATCGTTGGGGACGAATTTGCTCTTCATGATTTTCTCTTTGATCGGGTGTCTCCCGGCCTCGATAGCAAGCGTATCGGTGAGCTGCGGCTGAGCTGAAGAGATGTCAGCCTGACTTGCGTTTAGCGCCATGGAACGGATACTACCCACTGTAGTTATTCACTGTGACCAGATGGGCGAAGGCCGCAATCTACTCTCGGTCAGCCACATCAACATGAGAGGCAGTCGAGGCATAGTCACCATGTCTAGCATCGCGACTGCTTCACAGATCTTGAACATGATAGACACATGACTGCGGACCTCATCGATGAGAGCCTCGACCGCTTCATCGCCTGATAATAGTTAGTGAGCAGGAGCACCGTTGTTTCAACTTTGACTGTACTCATGAGGATGACTTCTTGGTGCGACATGGCGATCTGATACGTCAGCAAAGCCCGAATCACTGCATGTGGCCACATGCCTTCTGATTACGCTTCATCAATTCCAAAGTCTGGCATTCGATGTTGTTCTTGCGGCGAATGACGTTGGTGAATATCGGTGGTAGTGCTTTGCCTTCCAGCTCGGTTGTTGCGATCTTCATGTAGAACTGGCGTGCCGTATCGTATTTGAGGTCTAGCCGAATATCGTACTCCTCTTCACGAAGTTAGTGAGCGGGCTTACTGAACACGATGAACTGTATCTCACGACTGAGCTCTGTTGAATGCTGGTACGCATCTTCAGTAGCCTCTTTGTAAGTCGTACGCGCAACATCAAGCAGCCCATTCACCCCAGATTTGACGGCATAAGTGCGCTGGTTCCTGAGTTCCAAAGGCTGCCTTGCATATGTGGTGTCTTCGTTGATGACACGGTCGATAAGCTCCTGGACAGGTGCGACGTTCTCTGGGGCACATATCTCGCGGATGTTGTTCAACATGACAGATGCAGTTCCACTTAGGGCTTCGAAGACCGGGCTTACGGAATTGACGAATTGCTTGAGCATAATAACGTGATTAATGAATTGTTCCGTTGTCTGCAGAGTGGTCTTGCTTGGAGTGACAATCAGCGCAGTCAGTATGCGGTCGGCATCGAGGAAATTCTTCAGCGCTGCCCGGGTTGCGAAGAACAACTCTTCCTTTTTGGTCATATCGTCGACTGCAGCATACCGTGTGTTGAGTACCTCTGCCTCCGTGAGTGGCTGTAAGACATTACTCCGAAGAAGGCGCGCTCCCATGGGTGTCAATGTCTCGTTGAGAAGACCAAATAGGCAATCTCTTGACTTCGGATCGCGGAGATTCTGCACCAGTTCAAGCGAGTAAATGGTAGACACATCGATCATCATCGATCCTTCAGATGGCTCGTATCTCATGCGAAGGGAGTGAGCGGAGAAGACCATACCTAAGCCGAGATCAATGTACTTGAGTGCCTGTGAATTGGGTTATGAACAGCACTCAAAAGTCAAACAAAGGACTCACTGCTGCGATGCAGCACACCGCATAGTAGTTGCCAGTGACGGAAATCTTGATTGCTTCGATGTCCTCTCTGAACGCTAAGGACTGAATGTACTCGTATCCGGTCGACTCAGCCCAGTAGCGGCGATCAAGCAGGGTCAGCTTACTTCCAATGTCTTCGAGGTTTTCTTCAACGATCGAGAAGAGCTTTGATCTAGGGCTCGCCGCAGTAGATACGATCAGAATCTCGGATGGACCATAGACCTTAAGTTTATGAACTGTTCGAACGAAGGTTTGACTATCGCAGATTTGACAGAGTACTGCTTCTGCAGTGTCGAGGTTCACAAGAGCCAAGCCAACAGTGGGTGAGATACCACGGGACTCGGCAATGGCACAGACAACGTTCTGAGCCTCGACCCTAGCGATAGTAGAGGCTCCAGTCCTCGGTCGCGCAGTTGAGGGTCTGCCTGTGTTCCTGCGAGTGCCTGGTCGGGACGTAGTAGTCGTATTGTAGTCACCGTATCCGTAGTACCCATACGATGTAGACACCGAGTTGCTCTGCGAGGTTGAAGGCCTGGATCGTTGGAACATGATGGTTAGCGCTGCGAGATTAGCCGTTGAGTAATTGGGGACGTCACCAACTCCAGCTCTGGAGCAGTTTGGACCCGCGTGAGTGAAAGACGAGATGGAAGGAAGGAGACGCGTCGAGGGAACAGCTTAGCACGCCGCCCCACTGTTCCCAGACTGCTAGCGCGTTTGTTATCGATAACACCCAGAAATTATTTTCCCTTCTTACGGTAGCAGCGGGGCCTTCGAAAGTAAGAAACAGCTCTGCCACGCTGGTAACCTACTCGAAAATCGTACTGCGAGATATCTGAACTATGGCGACCCAGTATCCGCCGCCTTCAAAGCGCCAGAAGCGCGCGCAAGCCGAATTTGCGCGCGAGCAACAAGACATCGACACTACTATACCTGATGGCACTGTACGGGTGCGCTTCGTCGACCAAGCCACTGGCGAAAGTGGGAGTATCCCAGTACTCACTGTACCGCTATCGCAAGCGTCCACCAAGAACCTCGAACTCTTGCTCAACAACCTCAAAGACCAAGCCGACGATCAGATACCGTACCGCTTCTTCCCAGACGGCGCAACCGAAGCGCTTGCCGACAAGGACGACCTATACAATGCCCTGGTCAAGCCTGGCAAAGCGTCGGCAGAAAACGAAATAGTGCTCCAGTATGCGCCGCAGGCAGTCTTCCGCGTCAAGGCAGTCTCGCGTTGCTCAGCCGCGGTTTCGGGTCACGGAGACAACATTCTGTCAGTGAACTTTTCGCCAGTCAGCTCCAGCAGGATGGCAAGTGGTAGCGGTGACAAGACAGTGAGGATATGGGACTGCGATACAGGAACACCAGTGCATACTATGAAGGGGCACTCAAGATGGGTCCTTGCAGTCAGCTACTCACCTGACGGCTCTCTACTTGCTTCCGGTGGCTACGACAACGAAGTGCGGATATGGGACCCGAGCACTGGGAAACAGATTGGGGGTGCTCTCAAAGGTCACACCAGTTTCATCACGTCACTCTCTTGGGAGCCCTACCATCTGCAAGAGCCTGGTCGGCCGCGAGTCGCGTCGTCATCAAAAGACGGTACAGTAAGAGTCTGGGATGCGGTTGGTGGCAGAATCGACTACGCCTTGTCTGGTCACAAGAGCAATGTGACGTGCGTGAAGTGGGGTGGTACTGGACGGATATATACCGCCTCTCACGACAAGTCCATAAAAGTCTGGGATGCGGCAACAGGTACACTCGTGAACACGCTATCAGGCCATGCGCATTGGGTCAACCATCTCGCTCTTTCTACCGACTTCGTCCTGCGCACCTCGTATCACGACCACACGCGCAAGGTACCGTCTAGCCCGGAGGAGAAGCTCGCAAAAGCCAAAGCGCGCTTTGAGAAGGCCGCTACCATCAACGGCGAAGTAGTAGAGCGCTTAGCGACTGCTTCGGAAGATTGCACCATCATCCTATGGACGCCTTTGACCAGTACGAAGCCAGTCACCAGAATGACAGGCCACCAAAAGCAGATCAACCAAGTCACTTTCTCCCCAGACGGTGCCCTACTGGCGTCTGCAGCATGGGACAACCACGTAAAACTATGGTCGGCACGAGATGGAAAGTTCCTCAACACATTGAGAGCGCACGTTGGGCCGGTATACATGACCTGCTTCTCCGCCGACAGCCGATTGTTGGCGAGTTGCAGCAAAGACACGACTCTGAAGGTGTGGGACATGAGGACTGGTAAACTAAAGGAGGACCTGCCAGGACACAAGGACCAGGTGTTTGCGCTGGATTGGAGTCCGGATGGTGAAAGGGTAGGAAGTGGTGGCGCCGACAAGCAAGTGCGGATATGGAGCAATTGATCAAGACGTGGTCACAGTAGCATAGTAGAAGTTAAAATGATACCCTTGGTGCGAGTATGCCACTTGTGTCTCCTCGGTGGTCTGCCGTGGTTACGCTGACGACTTGAAGTGCGTTGGCTATGGACTAAGCGTAAGCTTCGATGTCTAGAAGCCTTGGAAATAGGAATTTGTACACATTTGAAGCATGCTAGAAGCTGCAAGTGAGGCTTAAGCGGAGGCTAAGGTAAAGTCGTGCGGTAACCGCCAGGATCGCCCGGCTCTCGGCACCCCCGCAAAATAATGCTGCCGATTGCGGCGGTGGTGGCTGGTGGCAGTGGCCTGACGAACGCGTAAGTGCGGGCAGCTGTGACGTCACAGCCAGAAAGCACCACCAGCAGACCATCATGCACGGGCATCATGCGGGGCCAGTCTTCATCCCGGATCCTCGGCGCTGCAAGTGCAGACGATGCAAGGCCAGCGCGCTAAGTGGATCATGCAAGACGGGCTTTTCCCATGTCCCTTGCTTGTACCTACGTCAATTGCGATCAGAGCAGAACATTCCCTGTATTAGCGCTTTTCCTGTTTCCACTGCCAATGCGACAGGTTTCGCAAGCCTTCCCACGACTCACGATCTCACACGACTAATGAATTCACGACTGTACACTACCCCCAACCACTAATTGGCCGGGTCAGCCACTCGCTGCTCATCGAACCACCTTTACCACTACCGACACAACCCAGTCCGCGCTGCTTCATCATGTCCGGTGTCGAGGACGTAGAGGCCCGGCGTAAGGACTACCGACGGCCACACAACGCCCATAACCCGATACCTACGGTCCAGAAATACAGGGAGGAGAAGCAAAGAAGACAAGACGAGTACGGCCATCCAGATGGCAGTAACGAACCGAGCACACGCGACCGGCTAGGGGACGCCGTCAACGTCTTCAGACATGGAAGAGACGTCGAGCTGGACAACGACGGCAATGGGCCATACCCAAACAGGAACAAGAACATTGAGCAAGACGAGCCAATTGCAGACGACCACGCCGGAAAGAACACACCCGAACAGAAGGACCAGAATCTGGCCAAAGACCAAGGCGACGAAGATGGACTCGAGGATACAACGGAGGACGGCTTGACATCGTCAGATCCCAAGCAGGCCCGGAAGGATATGAAGAAGTTCAAAGCCGACGGTGCAGATCGCGAAGTCACAGATCCCATCACCCATCTACCCATCAAGATTCACGACTATACCGACCGAGAGCTGAAGAGTACCGCAAAGAACCCGAGCGCTGCAGGGTCCGATCCACGCACAATGACCGGTAAAGACGCCATCAACAAGAGCGACGAGCATCTCGCAAACGAGGGGCAGGAATCGCAAGACGCGCATACGGGTATGCAAGTTTTGTTTCCACCTCCGTCGTTCGACAGGACACGAGGCGAGATCACAACCGTGTACATGCAGGCTGTGACTGTTGGCGTGGGAGCAGCTGCGGTCAGCTTGATGCTGGTCAACACATTGTTTTGGCCGACGCGTCATGCGACAGGCTGGGAAAGGCAGGCATGGAAGGCTGCTGAACTCAGTGTTATGGCTCTCGTCTCCACAGCCATCATACTCTTCATGCGACAGTGGTCAGAAAACAAGATCAAGAACGTCTGGGATGTCGAGATTTGGCAGGCGGAGCGACAAAAGGGCCAGAGATTGGCCAAGACCCAAACTGCGGAAAGCACACAATGGCTCAATTCGTTGATGGCTTCAATATGGCCGTTGATCAACCCGGATCTATTTACCAGCATTTCAGACACACTTGAGGTACGTGACCGACAGTAAACCAAGTATAAACACTAACTTTTGTAGGATGTTATGCAAGCCTCTCTTCCGAGTATGGTTCGCATGGTGGCTGTCGAAGATCTTGGCCAAGGTAGTGAGGCCCTCCGCATCCTCGGCGTTCGATGGCTTCCAACAGGCGGAGCTGCCAGATCAGTGGGCTCCGATGGAAACCTAAAGTCTCCGGATGAGGAGAAAGGCGACCGGACTGTCGAAACAAGTGACGACGATGGCGATGGCCAAAATGACGATCCACAGCAAGATGACATGGAAGCAGAAGACGGAGACTTTGTTAACGTTGAACTTGCATTCGCATACAGGCCATCCACGGGCAAGGGTATCAAGTCGCGCGCCAAACATGCCCACATACTGTTGGCGTTCTACATGCCAGGTAACTTCAAGATACGTAAGTCTGACATTCTCATTAAGCGCTCAACTGCTTACGTGTTCTAGCTGTCTGGGTCGACCTCGCGGGTATAGTTGGTGTTATGCGCTTCCGTCTGCAGCTGTGCCCTGATCCTCCGTTCTTCTCGATTTGCACCATGTCCTTCATGGGGCAACCCAAGGTCACTCTCTCGTGTGTGCCGCTTATAAAGAAGGGCCCGAACCTCATGGATGTACCTTTGATCTCCAGCTTCGTGCAGTCATCCATGGATGCAGCCTTGGCTGAGTATGTCGCGCCTAAATCTTTGACTCTAGACCTCAAGGACATGATGATGGGCGACGACTTTAAAAAGGATACCCTTGCACAGGGAGTTATCATGGTGCGCATCAAGTACGCGTTTGACTTCAAACACGGCGATACCAAGATCGGTCCTTTTGGAGGCTCTGCAGATCCCTACGTGAGCGTGGGATGGGCCAAATTCGGAAAGCCGCTGTGGTCAACACGTGTTCTCCAGGATAACATGAATCCGCACTGGGATGAGCACTGCTTCGTCTGCGTCACCTTTGACCAGTTGAACGTCGACGAGAAACTGAGGCTACAGTTGTGGGATTCTGACCGTTCAACTGCTGATGACGACCTGGGACGTATCGAAGTCGACCTCAAAGAGTTGATGAAGAGCGACGAGACCAACGGCAAAATGCACGATCGCGAGGACGGTTTCAGAGCCCTCAAACGCGGGGACGAGATGCCGGGAAAGCTGAGCTGGAGCCTGGGTTACTTCTCCAAAACCCGAATAACTGATGACCAACTTGCGATGCAAGATGAGGACCCGGATGTCAAGAACATAGACCAGCTGAAAAAGAAGATGTACAAGGAGGCAGAGAACAAACTTCGAGAGGCAAGTGAAGACCATCGCGATGAAGTGGAACAGCAAAAGTCCGAAGAGTTCAAAGCTCGGCAAGACCAGCTCATTATCGCGTCT